CCCTGGCTCTTTCGTGGTTTTCCTCCAGGGGGGCTATGGGTCTTTTCTGTTCCCAGGGCCGTGCCGCTCTTCGGCTCAGGCAGCTCTCTGGCGCAGGCGGGGCATGTCCCGCCTGGACAGGACAATGTTCAGCCCCCCGCCGCCCAGTGGCAGGCGCATATCTCCTCTGGAGGAGGAGGCGGCGGGGGGCCATACGTCCCAGAACTCCTTTTCAAAGCCCTCGCATTCCAAGGGCGGGCCTCCTGCAGGCCGAGATTTTGAGATCAGCGACAGTTTAGTTGCTGCTCGTGTTGGCGCCGGGTCCAACTTTGAATTCTTCCAGGTGCCCGACTCCCCGTCCATGGATCAGTAGTTCTGTTTGGAGTTTGAAACCTGTAACGCCACGTCGCGGGGGTCGTGCAAGGAATGGCTCCTGGGGACCCAGGCCCATGCCGTGGCCATCCAAGAGCACCATCTGGTGTCCAGTGAGTCATGTAAAGTTGCAGAGGCCTGGTGCCTGCGCAACGGTTGGAAGGGGATTTTCTCTCCTGCTCTTCCAGGCGAGGGCGAGGGAAGCTCAGGCGGTGTTGCTGTGCTCGGACGCGAGTTCCTCGGCTTGCACCCCTTGCCCAACTTCAACTCAGAAGTTGTCCCGTCCAGAGCGGTCGCGGGCATTATTCATCTTTCTGGGGATGAAGCGCTTCAGGTTCTCCTAGTCTCTGTGTGCTTGCACTGCTCCGAGGGCCTCGCCAATCGCAACTTGGATATCTTGGGCGCTGTCGGCAGCCTCCAGGACATCCACGCGTCTGAAATGTTGGTGGGGGGGAGATTTCAATATGAGCCCTGGGAAAATCATGGACAGCGGTTTCCCTGAGCGTTTATCGGGGCAGATCATCCCCCCGCCATGCGACGGCACCTGCTCCACCACGGGCGGGATGAAGTTATTCATTTTTTCGTGGCCTCGAAGGGCCTCGCCAAGGCTGTCGAGGATGTCTCCGTCCAAAGTGGTTCGAACATCACGCCGCATTTGCCTGTCCAGCTCGAGCTGCGTGAGCGTGCGACTTCTCTGCAGGCTTTGGTGTTCGACAACCCCTCCCCATCCCCTCTGAGCGCCCCATTGGGCCCCGGAGGGCCCCCCCTTCCTGGAAACGTGCCCTCGGGGCGGGAGGCAAAATCCTGAGTGAGCTGGTTCCTGGGGCCTCCTCCGAGGGCTTCCAGGAAAAAATTGCCTCGGCTCTACCGCCGCTCGGGGAATTTGGCTGAGTATGAGGTGGCCGAGGTTGCTCATTCTAAATTACCTAGGTGCGGAGCGCGTGGGCGCAAGCCTAAGCTGAAATGGGCCTCTGTGCTTCGGGATTCCGCCCAGAGGTGCAAGCGCCCTGAGCTTTTCCGGGATACAATGGCTTTCGAGCACTTTCCGACAGTGGAGAAGTACTGAGTTTGGTTCCCCAGAGGCCCAACAGCGCGCTCGTTTGATCGGTGACTCTCCTGGGGATTTTGTCAAAATTTTGAGTCCGCACTCTGAGCTGCTGCTCAGATGCCAACAGAGGGTTGGCCTTTCTCGCCCCCACCTTTTGCCGGCTGCTACCGAAAATAATGCCAGGAACGGCGCGACTGTCAGAGTCGACGCCATGTCTAGGCAGGACACGCCCTGCGCCGTCGGCTACGTCGACCCCCGCTGCACAGAGGTTGACGAGGCTGACGAGGCCCTCGATTTCGATTTGCTCTCTGACTTGCGTCAGGCGCTGGAGGCGGAGCAGAACAGTGCCAGGTGCCAGGCCTCTAGATCCTGGAAGGAGCGGCTGTTAAAGAACATCGAGAAAAGGGGGTCGCAACGCGCATCTGGCCAGAAAGCCCGTGGCGGGCTGGAAGGCGCCCACACGTTTTGGGTGTATGATGCAGTGCGCTTGCCACGCCGTGTGAATCTTGAGCGCGCGTGTTTTGCGTGTGTGCATGACGCGTGCCTCATGCACGTGCAGTGTATGATGCGCGTGGGTGAGGCGAGGAAGAGGAGGAGAGGAACAGGAGGAGGGGAAGAGGGAGGTGTGTGTGTGTGTGTTTGTGGGGGAGGAGACGCGGGTGCGGCGCGGCAGGTAAGAAACCCAGAACCCCACTAAGCATGTGAGGAACAAAAATCGTTAAACCACCTACGCCCAGAGGGCTGGTGGGATTGGTGGTGCACGACGCCGTTTCGGCAGGGTCCCGCTTCCCCCTCCGCCCTCGCCCAGTCTCCTCCGCCTCCCCCCCTCCTCCCTCCTCCCTCCCTTCAATCGGCTGCGAACCCTAGACTGTCCCTCCAGTCGGCTTGGATCGGCTGTCCCGGATGCGGCGGGAGCCTCCCCCCCAAGACTCTTGGCTGCGGGTGGCGAAGGCCGCCCTGTGCAATTTGCACCCCGTCCCACCGTGCGATTGCCACGGCTCGACCCAAGCATGACAGATGAACCCGGCGTGACCCCAATTGGAAGAAAGGCATCGGCGCAGTGTTTCGCATTCTTTGGCGCTGCTTTGCAATGCCAGGGAAACCGAGGAAGAAGACGGGGAGCCCGAGGAACCCAAACAAGGAGCAAGAACGGGAACCTCCAGAAACCCAGGCAAAGAGCAAGTAACATGACCAGGCGACCGGAATAATTCGAACAGGGAACAACACTAGGGAACCCGATGAACCCAAGGAAGTAACAAAGCCAGGGAAACCGAGGAACCCAAGCAAGAACAAAACCGGAAACCCGATGAACCCAAGCAAGGAACAAGACGGGGGAACCCGAAGAACCCGAGCAGGGAACAAGACTGGGGAACCCGAGGAGCCCGAGCACGGAACAAGACCGGGGAAGCCAAGACCCTTTTATACAAATCCAGGGACCCCCTGAGGAACCCTTGTGTAAGGGAATGAGACCAGGGAACCACGTGGAACATTGGGGCCAACCGCGCAGGAACCCACTGCTTCTTCACACATCGGGAGCCTTGAGACGGGGGTCAATGCAAACGGGGGTCAGCCAGAGCGCCCGATCTTGCAAGATCCTGCAGGGCCAGGGTCGCATTGACCCGTGGTTGGGTGCAGGATCTTGCAGGATCCTTCGCATTGACCTCGCAGGATCTTGCAGGATTTTGCAAGGCTTGACTGACCCGGGTCTGTATTGACCTGAGTCAGAAGATCCCCGAACAAACAGTGACATGGTGGATGAAGTTCTCGTGTGAGCCAATTCGTTAGATGCTTATGATGGTGACTTTCCATGAGCCCGCCTGACGGATTTCTTTGAATCCAGTTCGACTCCAGTTCGGCTCTGGCTCGATTCAAGCTCGTCACCTGGCGGCACACTTTCGACGTAGCTGATCGCTTCCACTTTTGCGCACTCTCGTGCCGATGCTTGAGTGCGGTTTAGGAACACGGTGCTTGTCTGGTGTTCTGCCAGCAGCAGCATTGACGCACCCTTACTCGGCGGAGCAACCTTACCCGGACGAGGCAACGCCTAACTGTGGAAACGCCAGCCGTCCACGGCTCGATCCAAGTCTGAGAGAAAATATCCCTCCCCTTTGGCCAGGTTCTCAAAGCACGCGTGTGCACCCTACCAGGGAGATGGATACATTTGTGGCCAGGCATTCCCAGCGCTCGGCCCTATTACGGCCGTGCGTGCTGGGCTTTCTGTTGCGTGTCGCCGCCTCCGGATGCTGCAGGTGTGAGGCCAGCCATGCTTTCGTGCTTCCAGCCTCCCGTAGCCAATACAGGGTGCACCCCCGAGAGGCGACAGAGCCGTCGGCCCGTGTCCGACTGGCCGTCCCCCCCGGGAGCGCCAGGCGCTGCCCCCGAGAAGACGCGCCAGGCGCTGGCGGAGGAAGGGCTGATGTGCGAGGCGAGGCCGCCGCGCGCCATCGCCGTGGCTGTCTCTGTCAGGGTCGTCGTCGTCGTCGTCGTCGTTGTCGTCGTCGTCGCCGTCGTTGTCGTCGTCATCGTCGGCAGTGCCGCCAGTGACGAGGCCGCCAGCCTGGGCGACGGCTGTCTGGGCCAGCAGCACGCGCTACCGAAACAGAAACTCGAGCCCGACTGCGGGGGGCTCAAGGTGAGGAGGGGGGCAGTAGCAGCATACTCAGATGATGTTCATGGCGCTGCGTGCGCGCGCGCACCAGCTCCACTCTTCCGTCGCGCACAGGCGGGCTCTGCCGCCTGACGTGCATGTCAGGTTCGGCGGGGCCTTCGAAAACAGGGCTGGGAGGGACTTTGTCCCTAGGGTGGGCCAGCTTGACCCCGAGGGGCTTGAGGGGGGAGAGCAATATATAGCCCCCGTATCCTCGGGTCCCAGAAAGCAACGCGTTTCAGCTAGAGCCAAACAACTGCGCTGTCTGGGTCAGCAGTACGCACTACCAAAACGGAAACTCGAGCCCAACTGTGGATGGCTCAAGGTGAGGAGGGAGGCAGCAACAGCATATTCAGATGATGATGTTCATGGCGCTGCGTGTGCGCGCGCGCCCGAGTTCCATTCGTTCGTCACGCGTAACGGGCTCTGCCGCCACCTCTGGTTGCGGGAGCCGCGCGCGCGGCCTTCCCCGCAACGGCCCTGTCCGGGCTCGAAGAAAAAATTGGGCTTCCGCCATCTGGAACGGGCGGGCCCTGGAGGCGCCGGGCGAGCATGGTCGCTGGCGTCCGCCGCATGCGTCGGGCGCCCGCGGGCGCCCCGCGCGGGCCGCGGAATGGCGCGGGCGGGCGCGGCCGATGGGCGGCCGGCCACGCCGCCCGGAGGGTTGCCGCCCTCGCTGCCGGACCCAACCGCAGAGGGGGGCGGCGCGGGCCCCAGTGCGGCGCCAGCCGCCGCCGCCCCAGCACCAGTTGTCTTGGGTGCACACCACTCGCGGCACTTGAAATGCCGCGCCCGGCGTGGCCAGGCCGAGGCTGGCGGCGGACCCCCCTTGCACCTCGCTGCTCGCCAGGCCCCATGGCCGTCGGCGCTGCTGAGCTCGACGGGGCGAAGCCGGCGGCTGGGCCGCCTTCCACCTCCTCGCTCGCCAGGCCTCGCGGCTGGCGGCGCTGCTGGTCAATCGCGATGCTGCTTGTCAGCCACCTCGCGCGCGACCTCATCCCCGCGCTGGAACCCCGGGTTCTTGTGGAGGTAGCGCGCGCCGTTGAACTGATCCGAGCCCTGAGCCCCGGCGTCGCAGTAGACCGCCTTGGGCTTCTTAGGTGGCCTCGGCTTGCTCGCGTTCGCTTCCCCTGGCGCCTCGCGCGGGCCCTTGGGCTGCCCGCCCGCCCGGCCGCGCGCTGCGCCAGCCGTGCCAGGCCAGCGCCAGAGTCGCGCCCGGCGCCGTCGTCAGGGGGGCGACGACCTTCGCCGCGGTCCACATGGGGATCGCGTTGACGACGTCGCTCCTGCCCTCGCTCAGGTGCAAGCTGATGTGCCCTTCGTCCTTCTTCATCGTCGATAGCTCCCGACGGGCCGCCGCTGCGTGCCCCGGTGTGACTGCTGTCGCGGCTGCCCTGCCCAGGGCTGAGAGGCCCCCCGAGGTAGCTTGCCCGGCGCTGATGCCTGCGGCTCCCTCCTGGGCCTCGCGGCAGGAGTCGCCAGCTTTGAGCAGTCGTTGGCCATGCGTCGGGCCACGTCCCGTTGCGGTTCATGCGATTCCCAGAGATGGGCGTTGAACGAGTCCGACGCCCATCGGCCGCGTCGCTGGACCTTGGCGATGTCGCCCGTGACATGGTACATCGCTGCGGCCCCGCCGATTCTCAGCGAACGAGAACGCCCGACGCGAGGCTTGCCAGCGCGAGGAAGTGCCGCGCCTCCTCGCGCTTCACCGGTGCGCCCGAGGCCCACCAGAACAGGGGCAGCCTCGCCTCTGCCGTGGTCGAAGCGCTGCGGGCGCTGCGCCTGCATAGCCGCGAGCGCCGTGATCGGGCACAGCGTCGACTGAGTAGCGGACTGATTACGCGCGGCTCCCGCGTTGCATTGGTCCGTCTTGGACCCCTTGATGCGCAGGGCGCATTCGTCTGCGTGAGTCATCGAGCCGACTCGCTCACCGCTGGATCTTGCTTCCACGTATTCGCCGTGGACCTCGCTCTCCAGCGACCAGGACTTGTCCCCAACCAAGTGCTCCGACGCTCGCTGGAGGAAAATGAAGGCGAGCATGGTGGCTGCGTACACGGTGGCGGCGTCCGCTGGGCCGAGGCCTGCGTCCAGGTGGATGGGCTGCTCCAGCCGCGCCAGCGTCCGCGGGGTGACTGGCTGCTGGCGCCGGTGGCTGGGGCCTTGGAGCCTCTTCAGGCCAGCCAAAGTCGTCCACGGCCTTCCCCGATGTAGGAGCGGGTCGCTGTACCCGACAATCAGGTGCGCATGCCTGATGGCGAAGAACAGCTTTTGCTTCGCCGTCCCCTCGGTGCGCGCCGACGCCACCGCCAGGATGATCACGAAGTCGATCATGGCGTCCTCGTCCTGCGACATCTCAGCCCTGCCCCAGCCCTGGAGCCATGGCTCCTTGCCCTGCGCCGAGCGGTGGGCCGCCCACTGGCGCCGCCCGCCTTCGTGCCCACTCCGGGTACCTTCGCCGAGCTTCTCAGCATGGCCTCGGTCCTCTGGTCGCGAAGCCACTCCCCGTAGCGTTTTCCACCCAGCACGGGGTGCGCGGGCTTGGGCGGCAGCCCTTCGCGTGCTTGTCCCAGAGCCAGCGGCTGGACCAGCTCGGTCGCCGTCATCGCTCGCCCCTTGCGGACCAGCCTTGACTTTGCGCCCTTGGGGTTTCGCGGCTGGGCCGCAGTCTTGGCGAGCTGGAGCTCTCCGGCCGCTGGTGGGTTGGCAGGGCCGAGGATGGTGTCCTCGTCGATCTGCATGAAGCGGATCGGCCTGGCTCTTGCGCCGGCCCGTGTGGATGCTCTCCGAGAGCGCCCCCCCGACAGCTTCCCCCCCCTGTCGGAGGAGCTCGGCCGCCGGGCTGTCGGGGGCAATGGCCCAGGCCCTGAACCACCTCTGAGTGGCCCCCCTGGCTGCCTGCTTCTCCGGGCCGTGGCGCACCCCGACCTTCGCGGCATCGGGGCCCAGCGCCTGCGCGACCGCCTCGGGCGCCGTCCGAGACGACTCTGGCGGCAGGGCGCGCGCCGCCGCTTGTAGGGGCGCCTCGGTGGAGGTGCCCTCGGCCACGCGCGCGCCCCGCACCTCGTCGCTGCCGCCCTGGATGCGCAAAACTTCGTTCGGAGCGAGGGCCGGGCCTTCCCGTGGGCGCCGCCGGGGACGCGCAGCTGTGTCGCGCCGGGTCCTATGGGCCCCTGTCCTGGCCACCGAGGGGCGTTGGCAGGGCCGTTTGGGCTATGCAGCAGGTGCTTGACTTTCTCGATCGTGATGTGCCCCGCCGGTTTCGGCAGCAGCGGACTGCTCGTGGTGCGGATCTTGGGGCCCAGGAGGATGTCTCCGTGGTTGTCCAGCCAGCCCACGCTCAGATCCTTCTCCAGGAAGTGCTTGACCCCGTGGGCCACGCGGCGTGCCGGCGGCAAACTACCGCTCGCCAGGCAGTGCGCCAGTGGACCGCGCCCGGCTACCAGCACCTTCGACGTTGCATCCCCATGCTCGGAGCAACAGGTCGAACGCGGTCAGCGTGTAGCCGAGTTGTTTGAGAGAGCGTTCGAGCCTCTGGATGGACAGTCCAGCCGGCGTGTCCGCGACGACCACGTTGGGGCGGTTCTGGTCCACTCTGACAAGGAGCGCCTCCGCTTCGAAGCCTCTGAGGTCCATCGTCAGGGACGTCAGCGCCTAGGCGGCTGCCTGACCATGGTCGGCCTCGCGTCTCCCGAGTTTGACGAAGGCATCCCGATATCCCTGGAGGAGGCCGCCCAGCTCGATGCCGATCTGTCCTGCCAATCGGGCTGGGCCTGGGTGCAGCGGGCGCCTGGAGCGCGCGGTGCCGCAGCGCTGACTCGGCCAGCGGTCCCGTCTCGCCAGGGATCCGCAGGGGCCTGTCCTGGGCATCCGCGGCGACCGACCCCCAGGCAGCTGGCGGGTCCAGGCGGTGCCAGCTGGCTCTCGCGAGCTCGCTGTGCACCTTCTTTACCTCCTCTCTGTCAGCCACTCCGCCACATCGTTGTGGTATGTGCGTGCGTAGAACGACGCGAGTACGAAGCCGTACTCGGCCTCGACCCGGTCGATCACTCGTGGCAGGTGGCGCGCCAGGGCGGTCGCGTGCCGGCGCTTCGTCTGCCGGGACTTCGCGTTCGCGTTGTCCGCGACGTAGAAGACAAACTCGCTTGCCCACGGGTGCCCCCTGCAGGCCGCCAGTGCCACCCACCAGTGCTAGGGGCTCCACGATAGAGGTGATCCACAGTCACTCTCCGAGCTCGGCCCGAACATGGCGTCGCTGAGCTGCTCCAGCAACGGCTTCGCCTCCGTCGCGAGGTGCGAGGCCGGCAGCCGTGCCGTCTCCAGCGCGGCCCCAGTCCACTGCCCCGATCGCATCCAGGGTCGCGTCCCCTCCTGTCCAGCGGGTGCGCCATGCTACCCGTGGCAGGGCCATCAGCTCGCGGGGAGTCAACGTCTGGCTGAAGCCCACCAGGAAGGAGGTGCTCCAGGCTTCCGGCGCGTCGAACATCACCCTGGAGAGCTCCAGATTGCAGTCCCACTCCTCCCAGGCTGCCGCCGCGGCGCCCGGTCGCCCTTGGGGGCTGCCCAGGGAGACTCCCTGGCGACGTGCCCCAGGGGCTTGTCGAGCACTGGCAGCTTTGGGCGGGTCGCGGGCTGCGCCGAGCTCCAGTGCTGCGCGCGCCCCCATCAGCTCCTGGACCGCGCTCGTGGAGCGCGACGCTCTCTGCGGGCAAGGCGAGCAGGTGCTGTGCTTTGCACTTCTGCTCGCTGAAGGTCATGCGCAGCCCCCGCGCCAGCTGCTCGGGGGCGAACTCGCCCTCCTCGGCGAGCTCGTCGGCGTTGACCGCCTGGGGCCCCCAGACGCGCTCCATGGCACGGTCGAGCTCGGTCCCCAACAGCCAGGGGCGGATCCCCACGAGAGGTTCGAGCACCACCCCGTTGTCCATGAGCCACTTGCTGGCGAAGCTCACCTCGTCGTTGACGGCTGGCGCGGGTGGGCGATGGCGGTCGTGCTCCTTCTTTGCGGCCCGGGCGAAAAAGCCATGTGCCCCCCTGGGCTACCCGACCAGCCGAACGCCAGCACCGAGTGGACCATCACGACCTTCCCGTTGATGCCCACCGCGTCTCCTGGCAGCGAGGCCCCGAACTCCGGGGCGGCAGCTGGCTCGAGATGGCGCCACTTGAATGCGCGAGCAACGTCGCGCTTGGCACGCAGCTGCGGTACTCCAGGGTGCCGAGCTCCCCACCGCAACGACAGCCTGGCGAGCCCGCGATGGAGTGGTTGCTTCGCCGGCGGGTGTTGCTCCTTGGGGCTGTCCACGTTTGCGTGCCTCATGTCGTGGATCGGACGGCCCTCTGCGGAGATGGTCCCGTCTGGGTTCTGTTTGGGAGCCCGGCCTGAGGGGGGCTCGATGACGACGGAGGCCTCACTTGCATGTTGACAGCCTCCGAGGCCCACAGGGCGACGCCGTAGCGGGAGTCCTTCCAGCTCTTCTCGGTCATTTCTCCAGCGTGGTCCGCGGCCGAGGAGTGCGACTTGTGTGCCTCGCGCGTCCTGGCAGTGACCCTCCTCGGCGAGGCGTTGTTTAGGACACCACGAGCACGCACCCCTGGACGGGGCCATTGCCCTACAACGTCGCCGACGAGCAGGCAGCAGCCTTCAGCGCTCGTGACGACGAGCCCATGTATTCCGAGGCGGAGTGCCGGAGGGCCAGGAGCTTGCTGCATCGCATCGCGCTGACTGGGGCCGACGCCCAGGGCCTCGAAAGCAACAAGGAATGGAAACAGCCCGCCCTCGGGGCGGAGGTTCTCAGGCCTCTGGGCGACTTGATCCTCAAGATGGCTCCGGACAACTTCCACTGGGCGCTCGTCGAGCTCCAATGTGAAGGCCAGCGCCTGGCCCCCCGTTGACAACGAGAACCAAGCCTCTTCTTCGGCCATGACAAGGACGGGCGCTTCTGGACTGCCTTCGGCACGCAGGCCCAGCGGCTCCGCCGTGGAGCGTAGGCCATCAGCGGCGCTCCCGCGCCGCTCAGTCAGCAGCGCCGAGGAGAGCTGGAGTCGCTCGGCTTCCGCGCGGGACTGCGGGGCATGAGAAGGACACGGCGCGCCGGGCAATGCACGCCCAGGCTGCGCGCAGCGTGGGCATGCGCCCTGAAGGCCGCGGCCCACGGAACCTTCCCGAGCGCGCTGCGAAGCAAGCTGGCGGCACTCAGCAAAGAGACCAATGCGGAGGCAGATGCGGCGAGGGCCGGCGAGAGCCCGGCGGAAGATGCACGCGGCGACCTCAGCGACATCGAAGCCCGCGACATCGAGACCACTCGCCCATTTCGAAGCAAGCCTTCCCCGGCACCAGCAGGAGCCCCGCTCAAAAGCCAAGACGGACCCGCATCCAAGGGGCGCGGGCCACGGGCCGACTCGCGGCGGCGACGCGGAGGCGGCGGAGGACCTGCTGGACGGGGAGGTCAGCGGCGAGAGGAGTGGGGGCGGCCAACGACGAAGCGCACGACGGCAAGAGCATGGGCAAGCGCGGCCGCAAGCGGGGGGCCTGGAGGCGCAACGAGGCCTCGAAGCGCGAGGCGGAGGGGACCAACGCTGGACGCGGCGCAGTTCGGCTCGCCCCAGGTCCCGGAGACCCACCGGGCGACGACAGCGACGGGGACGACGAGGACGAGGACGAAGAGGATGAAGAGCCGAAGCGCCCGAGGAAGTCCCTGGACGCGGAGCCAGAAGGCAGTGCCTCGCCACTGGCGCGCGTCGTCCTCCCGCAGCGCGGTGATCTGTGGCTGGAGATCAAGACGGCCCCGACGGAGGTGCTGGATGTCAAGATGATGGTGATGACCTCCCGCTGGCTGGGGGACGACGTCACCCGGCCCGTCAGGATGCACCTCTTCTTCTACACTGGCTGAGGTACGGCTGAAGAGCATTCCTGGGACTCCCTCAGACTGGAATCTTCTGTTGTCAGCGGTGCGTGGGCCTGCGGCTTTGGAGGACTCTCAGTCAGTCTCCCTCAATCTCTCTTGCATGTATTTCTACGTTGTTGGTTTGCAAATACAAAAGGTTATAAACATTTCCAGCCAACTTGCGTTCTCCATATTCGTTCGAATTCACCCATATTCCATATTCCTCGACATGCACGGGGTGGGTTCTCACGGTTGGGATCTCATTCTGCCTTGACAGTTCATCTTTGTGTGACTCCGTATCTTCTGGGTTCATTGCGTGCTTGGGACATTCAATTTTATCTTTCAGATTCTCTTTCAGTCATATATATATCAGCCTTGACCACTACTCATGTTCAATGGGTTTCATGGGATTTAATGGAAGTTTTCTTCACCTCATACTTACTTTAGACCTTGGGACCATGTGTTTCCAAGGTTGGGTCCCAATTGTCACTCAAGATCTTGTTAGTCAAATTTGGGCACCTCTTTCATTATGTTTCTCATCTTCATTCAACACAAGAGGGACCTAGTGGTGGGATTCATTTGGGATATTGGACAGTCTGTCATTCATGATTTCTTTCAGTATCATGGGTTTCAATCCTGGGTTGGGCTTTACCTTTTCCCCGCTTCTTTCCTCTCCTGCCTCGCCTCCCTTTTCCCTCTTTCTCTGCCGTGCGCACTTGGCGTAT